CCAGTATTCAGGGTGCTGAGATAGGAGGAATTTTTTTTTCAAGTTAAGGCTATCCTGGCCCACTCTGTCTCAAGAAACCAAACCAAACCAAAACCCAAAGCCATTCCATTACCCTTGGGGAGCTGCCTGTATTTCATTTTCAAACAACTGTAGAGATACTATTAACATCTTTTCCCCTTGTGATGGTTTATGTGGCAGCTGGGCAGGAACTAGAAATATCTTGGAGACAAATCTCTGGGCGTGTCTGGGAGGGGTTTTCTAAATTGGGTAATGGAGATGGGAAGACCTGCCCTGCATGTGGGTGACACCATGCTCTGGGCTGGGGTCCCAGGCTTATAAAAAGGAGAAAGCCAGCTGAACACCCGCGTTCTTCTCCCTCTGCTTCCTGACTGTGAAGACTGTCGGACCTGCCGCCATGCCTTCCCCACCACGATGGAGTGCGCCTCGTCTGAGCCGCAGCCGCTTTACTCAGGCACTTTGTCACACTAACAGATAAGTGACCGGCTGATACATCCCTCTAGGAAGCCGAGGCACAGACCTTGTATCTTGCTTGCCTGTCCCCCATTTCAGTAGGTGTGTGGGACCCGCCTTCCCTCCTAGCTGAGGTCTGAGTAGGACTACTGGTTAGAGCAGTGGAAGGCAGATGAGGTGAAGGAAAAGGCCTTCCCAATCTGCCACGTGAGAAGCGGGCCTTGGATTCAATTCGGAATTTGGGTCACTTAGGTCCCTCCCAGGATAGCATCAGCAGTGCTAGATTTGAGGACCATGTCAGATTCATTTGGACAGGAATCTAGAAGATATCCAACCACCTCTATGCAGGAATGTGCTGGCCACTTCCTGTCCATCTTAGACCCCAGTGAGCCTTTGAACTGCCATTTCCCAAGTTTAAGATTACTTCACGGACTTTTCGCCTATAGACACATGCTTTAAGCCCTTTAATGGCCCTGTCTCTTAGTGTCTCCATGACCCTGCTCAAGAGTTTCTTGTAGTCCCCATGACATCTTTTGGTTTTGGGGACCCTGACTTCTCTGTGTGAACAGGGTAAGATCAAGCTTTTGGAGGGAGGACTGCGTGGGCCTGGCCTTGAGGGAGGATAGGATTCAGCTCCAAGAGATGATGAAGGTAAAGACATAGACAATGAGAGGACCTCAGGCAGATAAAGACAACAGAAGCCAGGGCTTGAAGGAGAAGAGGGGACCCATCAGGAGTGATGCAGGCTGCTCTTGCCCTGGCAAGCTCCTGGCCCTGCCCAGTCTCCCTTTCTGGTCCCTCTAAGAGGAGCTCATGACTGCAGCTTCTCAGCCCTTGGTAAGCTGGAGAGGGCAGGCTTTGAGCTATCCCAAGGTCACTCAGGATGTCCAATAATTGTCCTAACACTTTACCTGCCACGGAACAGTAATGAGAGGGTTTTCATTATTTTCGGGTGAGCGCTCCTGGCAGATGCCCGACAGCCAGCAGATGTGTAAAGTCCGAGGTGATTTGTAAGGGACCAGCTCCTCTGATGCACGGTAATTGCACAGGGTGATGTTGTCACTCAGAGGAGCGTCCTGGCCTGTTGGGATGAGGTTAAGGTCAGTTCAAAGATCCAACTGAGTCGCAGGAAGTGGGGTTCATTGTGGGGGAGGTCAGTGGCTAAGACCCTGACCACAATCCCAGTGGGATCTTCAGGCTAGCCAAGAGCATTCCTTTCCAAGGCTTTTGGGTGTTGGGGGGGACCAGCAGCCACTGTCCTTCATCAGAGACCGTTCTGTGGCTCTCTGGAAGCTGTGCCTTCTTGGGTTCATGATCTGGAACCTGTGTTCTAGGCCTCCCAAGACCAGATCTATAGCATATGGCACCAGTACAGACAGAGATGTAGATGTGGTCCCTCAGCCCCCTCAGCCTGGGTTGCTGTAACCAACACCACCAAGTTACAATGTATACTGCATGCATTTCTTACTCCCAGTGCTGGAGGCACTGGATGTCCATGATCAAGGGGCTTGCATGGTTGGGGTCTGGTGACAGCCACTTTGCTGTGTGTACTAAGAGAGATAGGGGAGCAAGAAGAGAAGGAAGATGGCTTGCATTAAGCCTCTCAGGGTTCTCTTTGTTTGTTTTGGGGATAGGGTCTCCTTAGGTATCTCAAGCAGGCCTGAAATTTGCCATGTGGACCATGGCCTCAAACTTGCAGTGATCTTCCTGCTTCTGCTCTCAGTGCTGGAGTTATAAGCATATGTCACCATACCCAACCTATGGGGGCTCTGAGGACATCAGCCCTATCATAGGAGGACCCCTCTCTTGTGATGCTACTTAATCATAATTTGCTGCTCATAGGCCTTGTCTCCAAGTACAGACACACTGGAGGTTAGGGTCTCAGTGTAGGAATTTAGTGAAGCGCAGCTCAGTCCATAGCTCAGGCCATCGAGGTCTTCACATTGGTGTGTGGCTTCTTGCCCATCTCAATTTTAACCCAGGTACACACATAGGACAGGCCCACACATGTCTCACCCCTCCCAAGAGTAGAATGCCCCAGAGCAGAGCTGGGACTGCTGCGCCCTGCCCAGGGCATAGTTTTACATTTGAAGGTCCTGAGGATTTTGCCCCCTGTGCAAGAGCTTGCACATGCCTTCATAGATAGCAGAAGGCTTCATAGACTTTGTGTCCACAGGCCTGATGAACTGGGTCAGACCTCTTCCAGAAGATTTACTTTCATGTCTCCTGAGTGGGGAATAAGTTTACTCAGTTAGCTGGTACATAAGGAGGTCTACCTGTGAAGGGGACCTGTCCTGGGGGCGTGAAGACAAGTTCAGGCCATGGACACTCAGCACAATGACAGTGCTTCTCCAGGACCAAGACTCCATGAAAACCTGTATTGGTACTTTATTGGCTTTAAACTTTTTAAACCAACTCTTAATTTCATGTGCATGTGTGCTCCGTGTGTGTGCTGTGCCCACAGAAGCTAGAAGAGGCTGTCTGATCCCCTGAAACTTACAGTTGGTGCATACAGATGTGGGTGCTGGGAATCAAACCTGGGTTCTCTGCAACAGCAGAAAGTGTTCTTAGCCACTGAACCATCTCTCCCACCCACACTTTACTATTTTAATAATAATAGTGACTTCTGTAATTAATTGCAGTGATTTTAAATAAAGAGACTCCGTGGTGCCGGCCTCTGGTGGCTGCAGTGTAACGCATCATGAGAGGCCATGGTGGGTGGCACAAAGGGACAGGACCCACAGGGACGAGGGCTCTGCACACACGGTTCCAACCACAGTGTCTCCACACAGATAAATTAGCAAATAGAAAACACTTGATTTCCAACAAACTCACGTTGGTATCTTAAAGAAGACAATGAGCTACTCCCTCCCACCCTCATCAGAAGTTGTGTTCAGAGTGACAGATGTGAGGCTCTGCCATCTCGCTGTCACACAATTGCTCACTGTTCTGAGAAGGTCACATCATCATTCATTAGCAGTAATTAGTCCCCCGGGACCCCTGCACTTCTTCACTCAACTGCTCCATTAACTTGGGTGTGAATCACACATTCCAGGCACCAATCAATGAAGACCCATCCATAACACACAAGGTGATGCTATTAGTTACAATATATTAACTGCCTAATTTAAAAATAAAAAAGCCATCTTTATGAAGGGCAATTAACCACTGAGTGTAATTGGTCATTCATAAACCTCTGATTAGGAAAGACAAATAATAAGAAAGGAATGAGCAACCTAGGCTTTGGAAGATGTGGTCTGTGCACTGATGGCTGTCGATCTACAGATTTCTTCATAAATGGCACCTGGTAGCCCCATAGCTGGCTGGTCCCTGAAACCTACCTGCTTCTGCGGGCACCTAGAGGCCACAGGCTCATGGGCAGCCTAAGGGAAGTTGCAGTAAAGGTGTTTTAGGCTAGTGCTTTCTTCTGAGTCTCAGCTCTAGGTCTTTTCTCAGGAAGGCCTCTCCAACCTTCCTGTCCTGATAGCCATTGTCCCTTCACCCCATTTGTGCCATTCATGGTCCCTCTCCACCCAGGTGCAGACTGCCTTGCCTATGATCCTTCTAGGTCACTCTCTGCCAACCTCCATGCTTCCCAAGAACCGTGGCCAGAAAAGGTCTTTCCTCCTGTCACAGCACCAGCCTGAAGTCACATACAGGTCCATTCCCAGTACCAAGTGCACACTGATTATTTGTAGATAGGTCGATGTCATCTCTGGGGGCCTCTTGAGGCATCATCCTCTTTGTGGCTTTGTATCCAAAGAACTCACCCAAGCGTCACTAGAATGCTCTGAAGGAGAGGTCACGGTGCTATTGGCTTTTAGTGCATCTCAGCTTTATGGAATCTTGATTCTGGGTTTCTGCAGGGTGGGGGTCCCATGCTATATCCCACAACTGTCATGTTCCTGCTGCCTGTTTCTGACAGACCCCATTTTTTTTTCACTTGAATGGGAAGACAAACCGCAGCTTGGTACCTCTGCCTTACCCTGTTGGAGAAATGTGGGCGCAGAGTTAGTAACTCATGGACACGGGGAGTAACAGATACCAAGGAGAAATTCAAATGTTGCGGGGGTGAGAAGCAGCTGTGGGCATTCGAAGATGGCTTGCAGTTAAGCCAGGTGGATGGTGGTGGGGGACTGCTGAGTGGGTCTGGAGCGGGAGACAGGGCGGCACAGGCAGAAAGGTGACATGTCCCTGGTGGGGAGGGGTGGAGGGTTCCAAGCAGAGGTTGGGTGGGAAGTCCTGAGGAAGTTCATCTGGCTCAGATCATTTTAAGTGAGGAGGCTACACTTAAAATATGGGGGTGTGGTCTGCCAGCATTCTGCTTTTCAAGAAGTGGTCTGTCTGTTCCAGCTATGAAAGGCTATCCTGAACACATCTGTGACTGTCTGGGCCACATCAGGGACTTGCAGTGGCTTGGCCTACACTGCTGCTTAACCAGTGGCTCTTACAAAAGTCCCTCTCTGGGCCTGTTCTCAGGAGGCCGCACTCTGTGCTGATCACACTCCCATTTGGTTTTTGTGCCCCAGACTGAAGCGGTCCCCGTTGAAGGTGAGATTCTGTACCAACGAGTCCCAGAAGTCTCGGAGAGAGCTGGTGGGGTTGCTTCAGCGGCTGGGATTTGACATCTCAGAAGAAGAGGTGACTGCTCCGGCACCAGCCACCTGCCAGATCCTGAAGGAGCGAGGCCTGCGACCACACCTGCTCGTCCATGACGGTAGGCCTGTCTCGGACTTACTTTTTTGGTGGGGGTCAGGGAGAGGGCTTCTACTTCCGCTGGGCCAAACCACGAGAAACACATGCAGGTCAAATCTGACTTCTTCCACGATACTCGACACTCATGAGCCTTCTGGGTACAGAACTCAGGCTTCCTGCTGGGGGATAGTGGAGAGGTAAAACCAGGCCCCAACTATCCCCCTCCAACCTCCAGCCTCAAGGTCAGCTTGAATGGTCCTGGGAGTAAAGCCTAAGGCTGAGCTCCTTGATCTAGGCAAGAGGTCAGGGATTTAACCCAAGAGGTAAGATTATTGGAAGTGGAAGAGATGGATATGAGAATATGAAAATCAAGATTGCAGTCCATAGCTTTCCCATATCTGCCACCGATAGCCTGTCTGCCTCAGTGACAGTACAGCTCGCAAGTGACTGTCAGAGCAAGGTTTGAACCCAGATGATTCTGGTCTGCAGGACCAGAGATCCCTGAGTCCTCAGTCGGGAGCTTTTGTGGAGCAAAGCAGAGGGAGCAATAGTCTCTGGTGACTATTTAAAACCAGGGTTCAGGGCTGGGGAGATGGCTCAGCAGTTAAGAGCACTGGCTGCTCTTCCAGAGGACCTAGGTTCAATTTCCAGCAACCACATGGTGGCTCACAACCATCTGTAATGGGATCTGGTGCCCTCTTCTGGCCTATAGGCATACTCGAAGGCAGAACACTGTATACATAATAAATACATAAACCTTAAAAAGCAAACAGACAAACAAAAATACAGGGCTCAAATGCCAGGTGGTGGTGGTAGTGCACACCTTCAATCCCAGCACTTGGGGTAGCAGAGGCAGGTGGATCTCTGTAAGTTCAAAGCCAGCCTGGTCTGCAGAGCAAGCTCCAGGACAGCCAAAGCTACACACAGAGAAACCCTGTCTCGAAAAAGCAAAACAACAACAACACCCCCCCCAAAAAAACCAACAAGCAGACAAAAAACAAGGGTTCAAGTACTTTGGAATGCTTTTTTGTCACACCCCACTACCACCACCCAGTTTCATTTTGACAAACCTCTGGGCAGAGGCAAGGCACTCTTCTGAAGTAGAAAGTACTCCCTGGAAGGCTGGAGGGTGGAATCCATTGCCCTGGCACCAATTAAGGGAATCATGCCCAGCCTTTAAAAATCCTCTTTCTAACCTCCTTTCTCCGTAGTTAGGAACCCTGCCAATGTCTTTAGAAATCCTATCTCCTGTTCCCCAGAAAAAGGGTTGCTAGGCATGGAAGAGGGGGAGAAAAGCTGGGCTGGGGGTGGGGCTCAGTAAAGCATTGGCTTAAAGGTGGTGCTAACCAAGGAACCCCGCTGACATAACAGAACTGGGGGGGTTGTGTCTGTGTTTTTGACTAGTGTGTCTGTTTTTCAGGCTTTTGACTTTTTCTACATTTTATTATTGATGTTTTCACCCAATACTGTATTATGAAAATCTTCAGATATGTAGCAGACCTCAAATCTTTTGCTTGGTGGGGCTCTGGAGATGACTCCGTCAATAAGTACCTGCTACACAAGCGGTAGGACTTGAGTTTGATCTCCAGCAGCCATGTGAAAAACTGAGCATAGCAGTGTGCCCCAGTAATCCAAGCTCTGAGGAAGTGAGGATGTGAGGATCCCTGGAGAACACCGGCCATCCAGTCTAGCTGAACTAGCAGGCTTCCCAGGTCAGTGAGAGACTCGGTCTTGATAAACAAAGTGGAGAGTCACTGAGGAAGACACCTAATATTGTCCTAACCTCCATAAGCCCATGCACAGCCATGTGCTTACACACACACACACACACACACACACACTGTTTACTTAAAATAGTTTTATAGGCCTCCATGGATGCTGAAAAAGGTATTCTATAATATTTTCTTAGTTACATGTCCATCCGTGCCTACTCTATCTATCTGGTGGTTTTACTTTTGAACCATTCCACAGTGGATATTGGTGTAGTTCCCCTTAGTATTTCAGCCTGTGATTGACTAGAGCTCAGTATGTGGTCATTTTTTTTCTGTTGATGTAAGGTTTACATGTGGTGAAGAACCCAAACCTCAACTATACTTTTGGGGACCTTAACTTTTACACCCCTGGAATCCTACACTAGAGATCACTCTGAAGCTTCCTGCATATCCTTCTAGTCAGTCCCTAGCCCCCTACCACTTGCTGACAGATTATTATTATTATTATTATTATTTGGTTTTTCAAGACAAGGTTTCTCTGTGTAACCCTGGCTGTCCTGGAACTTGCTCAGTAGACCAAGCTAGCCTTGAACTCAGAGATCTGCCTGATTCTGCCTCGTGAGTACTGGCATTAAAGGCATGTACCAACACCCCCAGTGACAGTCATTATTTTTATATTTTCTATTGTAAGTCAATATACCTGCTTAGAATTACATATCAATAGAATTGCACAATGCATAATTGATCCAGGGACCCCAAAGGCCACCCTAGGTCTCAGTTATTCCCTGGACGAGCTGGGAGAGACATTGCATTCACCATTAAAGCTGAATACAGAGAAAGATCACAGCTCAGCTTAACAAGGGAGGAGCTGCATGGGGTAAAGGGCAGGAGAAGCCAGGCGTGAATCCCAGGTGTCCCCTGTGTTGAATGTGCCTAGTTGTCTCAGCAGTGATGTGTGACACGCAGGTTGGCTCACTGGAACTTCATTGCCTACACTTTTTTGAGAAGGGCTGGTTATCTAAGCACACAGCCCCCATGTGACTAACTTTAGGGACTCCACCTCCAGCCACATAAGTCACTCAAGGTCAAACTGACCCAGCATGAGCCAGTTCCTCAGGTGTGAAACCCCTCCAATTATCAGACAGGGTTTTGTAGGAACCCAGGGGTTCTCCCCAGAGCTGTTAAAGGGTCAGTCTTAAAGGTAGGCCTTTCTCTGCAGTGTGCAGGATTGGAGCAAGCCAGGCCTCCTGAGGTGGTCCTCTTGCATGAAAGTAGTCCTTTGTGTAAAGTTTCTCACCAGCCTGCAGACTCCTCACATGTACTACCATGCTCTTGCTCTTTGCCGTGTAGGGAACATGCCGCAGTACCTTTATGTCTCGACGTTTCCCAGTTTCAGGCTGTTCTGAAATCTACATTCTGCCAGGCAGACCTATCTGAGAAAAGATATCCCTGTTAGGAGCCGGGAGCAGGCCACATTTGGGGCTTAAGGACTGTCCGTCTCTCTTGTCCTTCCAGGGGTCCGCTCAGAATTTGATGACATTAACATGTCCAACCCAAACTGTGTCGTGATTGCGGATGCCGGTGAAAGCTTTTCCTATGAGAACATGAACAGAGCCTTCCAAGTGCTCATGGAGCTGGAAAATCCTGTGCTCATATCACTGGGAAAGGGGTGAGTCGGCGGCAGGGGGATTGTGCTGGGCAGCTCTGCCTGATGCTTTGTTGTTCTCTGCTGTGGGATCAAGTAGAGACAGATGCACACAGCGGGTGTGGGGGTGAGCACGGGATTTTTCTCCCCCCCTGGTGATTTCTCTCCATTCCCTCTTTTCTTCCCCTTTAATAATCCTTCCAGAGTTGTTTGACCAAGTTTCTGTAAGAATCTTGGGCCAGGAGAGGGGTGGGGCCATCGGTGCAGGTGGAGGCCCCGAGGAAATCTCAAAGGCTGAGTATTGTCTATCCTGAGTTTATAGTAAAGGAGGAAAAGGTCCCTTAGCACAGGACATAGCACAAGATGTTTAGGAATGGTCCCTAAGGATACTTGATGTATTAATAGATGGACTTGGGGTCTGGGAGGATGCTGGGGTCTGGGTGCTGGGTACTGGGTGCTGGGTACTGTCTCTAGAGTTGGAATTGGGTCCCCATGCTTTGGCTGGGCTTTTATCACACCTCAGCACCATGCTAGTCGGCTTCCATCGCTCCAACAGATATCTGAGGTAAACAGGTCCAAGGAAGGCCAGGTATCAGGCTCATGGTTTCAGAGGCTTGTTTTGGGCCTGGGATGAAGGTGGGCATCTCCAGCTTATCTCTCCAGAGATGGGGAAGCAAAGACAGAAAGAGCAAGAGTCTCAGTGTCCCTTCCAAACTCCCCCCTTTAGATCTCTAACTTCCTTTTACTGTACCCTACCTCTTTTTAAAAATTATTTATTGTTTTTGTTTTATGTGTATGGGTGTTTTGCCTATATGCATGTCCACACACTATATGTGTGTAGTGCCAGTGGAGGTCAGAATAGAAAATCAGATTTAGTGTAACTGGATTTACAGACTGTTAGTGACTAGTTGAGAGCCACCATGTGGATGCTAGGAACCAAACCCAAGTCCTCTGTGAGAACAAGTGCTCTGAACTGCTGAGCCATCTTTCCAACCCTGTTCTGTTTTGTTGAGCCGGGACCTGGTATATCCCTAGGCTGGCCTGAAGCTGGTTATGTTCTATATACTTGAGATTGGTCTTCAACTTCTGAATCTGTTGCCTCTACCTCCTGGCCTCTGCAATTATGGGTGTGTGCACCACAGTCAACAAAACACCTTTCCCCTCACTTTTGGTACTGGGCATTGAACTCAAGGCCTTGCACAGGCCAGGCAAGACTGAACCCCTGAGCTGTATCCCCATCCCTGCCAGCATCTTTCCTTACCACCGGGATAGCACATGCTCATTGAAGAAAACTTAGAATCACAGCGCCTAAGAAGAAAATAAGAAGTATTTGCAGTCTGACTGTAGAGCACAAACACAGCATCCGATGAAGTCATTATCTGACGGCACATATCCCCACCGGGGTGTTGTTTTTGTTGTTGCTGTTGCTGTTGTTTGAGACAGGGTTTCTCTGTGTAGCCTTGGCTGTCCTGGAACTCACTCTGTAGACCAGACTGGTCTCGAACTCACAGAGATCCTCCTGCCTCTGCCTCCTGAGTGCTGGGATTAACCTCCTGACACACCGTGGGGTTCTATACCCCTCAGACTGTGAGTCAGCGTTTCCTTCTTTCCTTGTTATGTATTTGGTCACAGCAACAAGAAAAGGAGCCGATACAGGAGTCAGGCTTAACCTTGTTTTGTCACCTGTGGGATTTTTTTTTCTATTCATGTGTGCTTGTATACACTTTTGCAAGTAAGTGTGTGTGCATGTGTGTGTGCACGTGCATGCGTGTGTGCATGTGGAGGCCCAAGGTTGTTGTCAGGAATAGCATCCTCCATCTGTCTTCTTCCACCTTATTCAGTGAGGCAGCATCTCTGAGTTAAACACATACCAAAGGTATGGTCCAGCTTTTTGTTGGGGTCTCTACCTCCCAAGGCCAGAATTACAGGTGGGCCACTATGTCCACTGGACATTTATGTGAGCTGGGGATCTGAATATTGGACATTAAAGGTTTCAAACACAGGGCCATCTCCTCAGCTCTCTGTTGCCTGTTTCTTACAGTCACCAAACAACAGCTTATGGATGACTTTGTACACAGTGACCAAATGTATCTGTGACACAGTTATCTGCCTTGTGAGTGTCCTGGGATTGTGTTTAGTGATCCCTAGTGTTGGACAGTGAGGTTGTTTCTTACTTTCTGTGACAGTAAATTATGGTTGAGGGTCTTTGTCACATCAGATGTTGTCCTCAGAAGCTACTGAAGGACGACTTTTACTTTTTTTTTCTTTTCTTTCCTTTTATTTATTTTGATACAGGGTCTCATTCTGTAGCCCAGGATAACCTATACTCTTAGCAGTCCTCCTGCCTCAGCCTCCCAGGCTCATTTTGAGCTTCATGATGTATTCTGCTCAGCTCATTTCCAGAAGGCTGTCTGTGTCTAGTGGTCAACAGAAACAGCACTAGAAGTTCAGAATCTCACCCTTAGGTTACATGATGCTTTGGGTTTCCTGCCCAGCTTGGTATGCGGCAGGGCTTCCTGCTGGAAGTATTTCTATCCAGTGCTTTGGTGACTGGGCCTTCATGCCCATTGATCTAGGCACACTTAGACTGTTTAACACACTGAGCTGGGTCCTGCCCTTGGGTATTTGAATTGGCAAACCTACACTAGAAAATGTGCATAATGAAAAAGCAATCTTCTAGGTCATTTATGTCAACACATTTTTCTTTGATGCAGTTTTATCATTGCTAAAGGTTATTCCAGATTGCAAGTAATGGCTTGAATAAGTACATTAGTGAGAAAGATGAAAACAGGAATTGTTTGCTCTTGGCTGGGTGATAACTTCAGCAGACTCGGCAGTAGTTGAGGGTTGAATTGATATGTGCAGGGCCTCCAGCTCCCTAGATTTTGACTTGGGTGAAGGGTGGCATGTTTCAAACCCAGAGAAAGGGCTCAACAGTCCCCAGAGGGTGGCAGCTTCTCTAGGCAGCCTAAGGGCCCAGAAAGAGCTCCTGTCACTACAGTAAAGGCTGGGGTGGCCTCCCCGAGGGTGCAGGGAAGCAGGATGTCCCCTTCCTCGAAATGGAGTGATTTACATTTGGCATCTGTGTGGACTGAGAGAGGGAATTGCCTTTGTAATTTCTCCTGTCATGCCGCCATCAGAAAATTAAGCTGTTTACTCTACAGACTATGGAGGTTAATGGCTCTTCTGGGAGAGGTCAAGTGGTCATTTTGCAGGGAGGCTGCTCCGAGGAATCGGAAACGGCAGGAGAACGAAGCATAAAATCAGATCTGACTGCTTGCTCCTGTGTCCTGATTCTCCCGGTGGCCGCTGTGGCCCTCAGTGGCTGGAGGGCCCACAGCTGGCCGCACTGTGCCATAGGGAAGGGAAACTATATCCGGTTGCTAGTGAAGGGGTGTCGATTAGATGCCTGTTTGCTGTTCCTCTTAAAGGAAACAGTGTTTACAGCCAGCAGCTGGCTTCAAGGTGGATTTTTGTTTTTCTGAATGAATAATAAATACAGAAAAAAATTGTGAGCTCTCTAAAATGCAGCCCAGATTCAGTTTTAAAAAGAAAACAAGCCAGGCAGTGGTGGCCCAGGCCTTTATTTCCAGCACTCGGGAGGCAAACTCTGTGAGTTTGAGGCCAGCCTGGCCTACAAAGAGAGTTCCAGGATGATTAGGGCTGTTACACAGAGAAACCCTGTCTCAAAAAACAAAAACAGAAAAGAAAGAAAATTGGGAGGGGTTGACTGGGGATGTAGCTTATTTGGTAGTGTGTTTTCCTAGCATTCAGGAAGCACTCGGCTCCATCCCCAGCAACATATAAACTGAGGTAGTGGGGCACACCTGTAATTCCAGCAACTGGTGGGGTGGAGGCAGAAGGATCTCTGTGAGTTGGAGGTCAACCTGGTCTACATAGCGTGCCTGACTGACTGCGTAGTGGGACCTTGTCTCAAAAAAAAACCAAACAAACAAAAAACCTCTCTTGAGAGAGGGGTGGTGGCAGGGATTAAAAGTTTTCCTTCTGGCTGGATAGTGGTGGCCTTTAATCCCAGCACTAGCAGAGGCAGGCAGAGCTGAGTCTGAGGCCAGCCTGTTCTACAGAGTGAGTTTCAGGACAACCAGGGCTACACAGAAAAATTGTGTCTAAACTCCCCTCTCCCAATGTAAGTTTCATTTGGGATTTCTGAACATCTATTTTCTCTGGTTCAGAAGGTCATGCTTTGACTGTAGCTTTCAAGGCACCCTGTGAGTAGAACACCTTGAAGTTACTTTAGAATAAACATCTAGACCCGAGGCCAGCAGAGCTGTGCTCTGAGAACTCCTTAGGGGTGAGATTTCCAAATGAGAGGTGCTTGTTCCCATCCATCCTGTGTCCTCCAGCTGGCCCTGGGGCAGCCCAGAAACCCCCAGAATCCTCAGCTGCAAACAGCTGCACCTGTTAGAGTTTTGTTTTGGAAGTTTCTGTTTGCCTCTGTTGAGCATCGTCTGTGCTGAGTTAGGTCTGCATCCCTCCCAACCCAGTTATTCTCACCCTCTCCTTCGGGAGGCCCCTGATGATCCTCTCCTGCCGTCTTTCTCTGACTGCCAGTTGGAACAAGGGTTGTAGTCTCTGAGAGCCTCCTGAGGGCCTTGGCCCAAGAGGATGTCCCATCAGCTGCTCTGGTGATCTCGAATTGCCCCCTGGTCTTCACACTCCTGCCTCTCACTCACAGAGTGACCTGCTCCGCCTCAGGACACAGCTTAATTGTCTCTTCTGAGGGATGCCTCTGTCACCTGTGCATGCGGGTCACCGTGTTTGCAGTTTCTCTGTGGGTCTCTTTATGCGTCCTCCACCTGGGGGTCCACGGGTGCATGCCAGGTCTGGGCATGTCTCTGAGTCCAGCAGAAAGTCCTGGACTGAGAAGAGAAAGCCTCCTGCCACCCCTACCTACAGCACAGCATAGCACCAGTGTCTCCCTCTGCTGGCCAAATCCTGTTTATCAGTCTCCAGTTCTTTCAAACTCTGGACCCTGGCTATCCTATATTGTAAAAAATAGAAAAAAATTGAAGCAAACACTTTTAAGTAAGTGTATTGTGTCTGTCTGTTTTTCTGTTTGTCTGTGAGTGTAGGCATGCTCATGCTAGGGTGTACATGTAGAGGTCATAGGTAGGTGTCTGACGTGTGTGTGTGTGTGTGTGTGTGTGTGTGTGTGTGTGTGCGCGCGGCTGTCTGTCTGTCTGTGAATGGAGGCGTGCTCATGATAGGGTGTGCATGTGGAGGTCACAGGTAGGTGTGTGTGTGTGTGTGTCTGTCGGTGAGTATAGGCGTGCTCATGACAGGGTGTGCATGTGAGGTCACAGGTAGGTGTGTGTGTGTGTCTGTCGGTGAGTATAGGCGTGCTCATGACAGGGTGTGCATGTGAGGTCACAGGTAGATGTGTGTGTGTGTGTGTGTGTCTGTCTGTCTGTCTGTCTGTCTGTGAGTACAGGCGTGCTCTCATGACAGGGTGTGCATGTGAGGTCACAGGACAGCCTTAGCTGTCGCTCTTCACCCTCCACCTTGTTTGAGGCAGGGTTCTTGGTTGTTTGCCAGGTTGGCTTCTGGTGCTTTTCCTGTCTCCACCTCTCATCTGGTACAGAGTGCTGGAGTTACAGACACAGGGTACCATAGCTGGGTTCTGGAGTTACAGACACAGGGTACCATAGCTGGGTTCTGGAGTTACAGACACAGGGTACCATAGCTGGGTTCTGGAGTTACAGACACAGGGTACCATAGCTGGGTTCTGGAGTTACAGACACAGGGTACCATAGCTGGGTTCTGGAGTTACAGACACAGGGTACCATAGCTGGGTTCTGGAGTTACAGACACAGGGTACCATAGCTGGGTTCTGGAGTTACAGACACAGGGTGCCATAGCTGGGTTCTGGAGTTACAGATACAGGGTGCCATAGCTGGGTTCTGGGGATCTGAAGGTCCTCATGCTTGTACAGCAAGTTTTCTCTACTCACTGAGCCACCTAGGAAACTTTTAAAGCCTTAGGAAACTTGTAAAGAAAATTTCTTGAGGGCTTAGTGGTTAAGCTGTTGGCATGCAAGCAAGAGGGCTGGAGTTTGGATCCCCAGAACCCACATCAGTGCCATGTGGGTGTGGCCTGCATGAAAACACATTCCAAGAACAGTTCGGTGTTTTGAAGAAACTGAGGTCACAAGACTCCTGTCTGGTTTTCTTGGAGTTTTCTCATGAGCACTCAGAATTCTTCTCACATAACTAACTCAGTCCCCAGAAGGTGTTCCAACACATACACATGAAGAAAAGTAAAAAAAAAAATTTGAGATAGAATCTGCTATGTATCCTAGACTGGCCTAGAATTCTCAATCCCCCTGCCTCAGCCTCCTGATTGCTGGATTACTGGAGTGACAGCACCAGGCCTAGGTCCTGTATTTATTTTCCCACTGAGCTCCTGTTTCTGGGCCTGTGCTGAGCTCCAGTGAATGGCTACTTACAGTAGAATTCTCCAGTCTTCTGTTGAGTGATGTTTGTGTTCTGGGCATGCAAGGAACTTTAAGTATGTTATTTTGTACAAGCTTCACAACAGTCCTAGATATGGATGGTTCATTTCCTTTGACCATTTTACAGGTAGGGAAGCTGAGGTCGAAAGGTTTATATAGCCCAAAGTCCCTGCTAGGAAGCAGAGAGGGGATCTGAATGTCGAGGCCGGCCTATGGCTCTGTCTCCTCTTGTCCACTGCACATGTGCCTAGTTAATGTCCCCTGCTGGACACCGAAGGAAGGGACAACTGACCAGGATGGTTAGACCTCTTAATAACTCTGAACTCAGATCTCTTACCATCCCTGGGTTTCAGTGAACCTCATCTCTAGAGCATGATGTGTAAGCTACCTTCTTGCTTTCTTATGGCTGCATGGCTTTTCTCAGAGAGCCTCGGGTATGGATGACTTTGTAGTTAGGACTCTCGTGTACCTCAAGGCCTTGGTCTGATGTGAGATAGGCCTTGGGCACTTGGAAGAGCAATGAGACAGTCTTAAGGAGGAACGCTCCCAGAGAGCCTACATTGTCTCTTCGGTTCGGAAGACATCCTTGTCCTCTCATGGAAGCAGCTGGTGCCCCTGAAACCTGGCACCTTGCCTGACCCCAGCTAACAGGAGATATGGCAGGCTGCTGTGGAACTAATGGAGTTCTCTCCTCGGGCAGCAGTTAAGGGTTAATTATTAGCAATTAGGGAGTAAGCACATGCTCCAGGGGCCTGCTGTCCCTTCCCAGAATACGGGTCACTTGTCTTCCTCTGTGTTATAGTAACTGGATCCATCTGTCCCCCTTAGATCTCTGGTTAATCATTGTGGTAGGGTCCCTACAAGGCCAGCAGCAGGGGTCTACTGGCTGAGTGATCCATGGTATCCTAGTGCTGCTGGCCTTCTGGTTCTGCCACGTGGCCTCCATCAGTCACTCTCAGCATGGCATCAGTACTGACCTGCACCCGTGGCTCTCTGACCACCACTTTCCTTCTGCTCTCTTGCAGACGCTACTACAAGGAGACCTCTGGCCTGATGCTGGATGTTGGAGGCTACATGAAGGCACTTGAGGTACCTGCCCTGGTTCTATTCCGTGCCCTCTTCAGGCTTTCTGGAGAAGAGGGGGCACTTTACATACAAGTAGCCTTTCATGTTTCTGAGTGGGGCCTCCTGTGTGGGGTTTCCAACCACACATCCCCTCCCCTCTGGGGTTGGCTCTCCCATTGCCTGGGTCATCATGCAGTCAGTTACATGTATGTCATTCTCTTACCCCAACCCTGGCCAACCTCCTGGTGCTCTCTCCCAGCATGCCCTTTGCCACTCTCCTCTGACTCATGGCTGCTTCCGTCCTGGCCCTGTAACACCTCAGGCTTGATCTGTCCTCCTGACCTTGTTCCTGAGATGACCCTCGAGGTTACAGAACCATCTGCAGCCAGACCTCTGGAGTCTACTGTGACTGTGGCCAATTAGTTACCCCTGCCTACACTCCTATTGTACCACGTCCCATCCTCACAGTGGTCGCAGCCCCTGCCCACCTGTGCCCAGGTGGAAAGGGTGGGCAGATGTATAGTTTTTTTTTTTACTCTTAGGGTCCTGCCCCCCAGCTCCCATATAAATAAATACATAGAGACTTATTCTTACTTCTGAATGCTAGGCTTTAGCTTAGCTTGTTTCTACCCAACTTTTTTTCAACTTAAATTATCTCATATACCTTTTGCCTCTGGGCTTTTAACTTTCCCTATTCCATAAACTTTTCTTTACTTCTTACTCCATGGCTGACTGGGGAACTGGCATCTTCCTCTCCTTCTCCCTTTCTCACTCCTCCTTCCTCTCTCTCCCCCTAAATTCTCTTCCCATTTATTCTCTCTGCCTGGCAGCCCTGCCGATCTCTCTCCTTCCTAGCTATTGGCCATTCAGCTCTTTATTAGACCAATCAGGTGTTTTAGACAGGCAAAGTAACACAGCTTTGCAGAGCTAAACAAATACAGCATAAAAGAATGCAACACATCTTTGCATCATTAAACAAATGTTCCACAACAGCATAAACAAGTGCAGCACATCTTAAACTAATATTCCACAGCACAGGTGGGTAGATTGAATCCTGGACCACTCAGGAGGGCCTGTAATCTACCTGGAGGTGGACAGGAGGGACAGGCCAGAGAATGGGATTGTAGCCCTGGTCTCCTGTCCCCGGGGGAGGCTTGTGGCTTTGCTAGGTATGGTATGCCACTTTGCCATGGGCAGCAGCCTTGGAGTAAGTGGCAGAGTTGGAGGTAGCATTCTGGGCAGCAGCCTATTGTGGAGTTGTGACACTCTTGTCTGTGAGATGTTTTGGGGGCCCATAGCATCCTGCTTTGTGAAGGGCCTTAACCATCACGAGACAGTCTTCCCTGTGTTTGGTCACTTTCCTGTCCCTGATCTTAAACCCATGCTATGTCTTTTCTTTGCCAGTATGCCTGTGGTATTGAGGCTGAAGTGGTGGGGAAACCTTCCCCTGAGTTCTTCAAGTCTGCACTACAGGCCATAGGGGTGGAAGCTCACCAGGTAGGAGTGGCAGCATTTCCTTTCTTCTTTAAAACTTTTAAATGACATCTACTTACTTATTTCTTTTGGGTGTAGGACTGTGTGAATTCATTCTCTCCCTCCAGCGTGTGGGCCATGTGGGTTCCAGGAATCGAAGTCAGAGCATCAGGGTCAGCAGCAGCTGCCATTACCCACTAGCTGTCTTTCTGGTCCGGAACTCTTCTCACTGAGGAATGAGATAGGTGCCTGCCTTGTGTCCCAGCAACCAGATCACACATAGTCCCCTCTTGTAGTATTTTCTCCCTCTTAAGAAATGTTTTCCTTTCTTGTTTTCTGTGTGTGTGTATAGTACATGCATGAGCATGTATGTAGGTCGCAGGTACACGTGTGCCACAGTGTTCATGTGGAGGGCAGAGTTCAACCTCGGGTGTTAGTCCTTGCCTTGTCCTCTGTGTGAGACAGAATCTCTCTTACCTGCATATGCCTGCCTGGCTAACCAGTGAGTTTCCAGGGATTCTCCTGTCTCTGTCGCCCATCTCAATGTAGAACACTGGGATTACAGATGTGTGCTGCTGGGTTCTGGGAGTCAGAACCCTGGGCCTCATGTTTGCACAGCAAGTACTTTGCCAAGTGAGCCATCCCCCCAGCCCCAGAACTATTTTTTTACTATCATGTCTTAAAGCAAATCTCAGACCTTGTGTATCCTTTCATGTTAAAATATTCCTTTAAAAATGGGGCATTTGAACAAAACCACAAAGCAGTAGAACCTCAGGCAGTGGCCAACGAGCACACAGAAAGGCGGCGGGTGAGTCTCCTTAGGACTAAGGTCGAACCCCATCATCTCATGTGGCCACTAAAGAGAGAAGAAGCAGGAACTTGCAAGTGTTGATATGGAAAAGCTGGAGCCCTGCGTTCTGCTGGTTGGACTGTGACTAAGCACCAGTGCTGGGGGGGAATCTTTGATGGGACTCCAGCATTAAATGAGTTTTCTGTCTGCCCAGTGACTGTACTCCTAGGTGTAGATCAGATGAACTGGAACTGATATTCAATAACAGCAGCAAACTTGTAGACTCTGAGGGCAACTCTGTGGTCGAAGCCCTGGGTTTTTGTTTGTTTGTTTGTTTAAATTAGAAACAAGCTTGCGTCACATGTCAATCTCAGATCCCTCTCCCCTCCTCCCCCACGCCCCCCCCCCATCCAATCCCCCAACCCCTCATCCAATCCCCAATTGACTCTCCAGGGAGGGTGAGGCCCTTCATGGGGAATCTCCAAAGTCTGTCATATCATCCGGGGCAGGGCCTCCCCCATGTGTCCAGGCTGAGAGAGCATCCCTCCATGTGGAATGGGCTCCCAAAGTCCATTGGGATGCCAGGGATAAATACAGATCTAGTACTCGAGGCCCCAAAGCTTGCCGAGGCCTCCTCACTGATCAGTCCCATGCTGTCCTCTCAGCCATCAGTCTGGGGTCCATGAGCAACCCCTTTGTTCAGGTCAGCTGTTTCTGTGGGCTTCACCTGCCCGGTCATGACCACTTTGAAGCCCTGGTTTTAAGTCCCAACACCACAGAACCAAACAGTCCCCTAAACCACCTACAGATATTCACAGCAGCTGTATTTACGGTAACTGCAAGGTTGAGCAGAATTCAGATGTCTGCCTATCCCCCACGAATGGGTCAGCAACGTGTGTCCCACTCATACAGTGCAATATCATGGAGTCCTAAAGAGGAGGCATGAGCCATGAACACATCTGCCAAGGACTGGAAACTAGGTGCAAAATCATAAATGGAACCCATTTCGTGGGCTTGTCTAGAACAGGCGAGCCCACAGAGGCAGAGAGTGAACTAGCGGTTGCCAGAGGTTGAGGTATGGGCACAACAGGAATGTCAGTTCATGAGTACCCGCTCTCCTGTGGCCGATAAAAAACGTTCTAGAGATCAGGCTGGCGTGATAGCTTAGTGGGTAAGGTCACCTACAGCCAGAGCTGGTGACCGGGCCTCACAGGGTGGTAGGAAAACTGACCCCTGGAACCTGTCTCTGACCTCCATACGTGTGCTGTGGCGCACACCGTTCTTTGTGCCTGTCACTTGGTGGGCTAAGGCCATCTGAATTTGAACATGGTACCTGTGCATCTCCCCGCCTTGTCGCTCTCTCCTGGCTCCAGCCTGCCATTCTGCTGAAAGGCTTGCTAGTGTCATTTAAACCTCAGGATGTGTGAACACAGTTTCATATAACTGTCTGTACACACAAGTAATGACCCCCCGTGTGTGTGTGTGTGTGTGTGTGTGTGTGTGTGTGTGTGTGTGTGTGTGTGTGTGTGTGTGTGATGAAAATGGCCTGTGAAGGGCTGCTGGCTGCTCAGGAGGTGCCAGGCCGTGGCACACCTTGACTGTTCTGAGCTGCTCTGATCAATAAAGTCATCACTGCCATTCCCTTAGTAACAGCTCTGCAGAGGTTTTTTGAGCCTGAGCTCTAGTGGTGGCAGCCCCCAATTCAATTTCCACCAGGTCTTTCCCAAACAGCCTTCAAAGAGCAGAGGGCTGGACTTGCCCTAGGTGATTGGAAATACAACCCCCTTAGATTAGAGGTGGTCAGGCCCTTTCTAGGGTCCAGAGCCCTTTCTAGGGTGCAGACCTCAAATACACGTTAAAAAAAAATCAGTGATCCTTGGCTTTTGTCATAGTATTATTTGTCCTTATAAATGTGCCAAGCCATGGTGAAAATGGCTTAGTGAGTGTCACCTCCGAGCTTCTGAGGTCACTGGAAACTGAAGGTGTAAATATCCCTTGAGGAATCTCCATGTGGAGTATGTGCCCTGCCTGCCCCTCTGTGTCCTTCCCCATGATGGGAACATACTCTACCTAGCAGAGTCCAGGGAGAGCTGACAGGTCATGAACACAGACTTTCCTGGGAAGCCCTTGGGCCCTAGAAGCCTGTCCTCCAAAGCATGTTACCTGTCAGGCTCCGCTCTTCTGAGCACTGGGGCTGGTGAAGGAGAGACCTGCAGGCAGGCAGTGTGGAAGCACAGGATCTCCTCTTTTAGCCCAGACTGGCTTCTACCTCACTGTGTAACCAGTGATGACCTTGAACTTTTGATACTCCTACTCTGTCTCCCAAATTCCATGACCTCAGGCATTCATTCCACCCGTTTCATGTGCTGTCACCGGGAGAATCAGAATGTGGGTTTCACACACACCAGACAAGTGCCCTGCCGACTGACCCACACACCCAGCCCCAGTCTGCTTTACAGATCCAAACCACCAAACCCGTCTTGGAGGCTGACAGGCCCCCTGCGGCTCTCGGCATTTCTGGGTTCCCTTGGAGTACAGCCACTCAGTTTTGAACGTCTGTCTCCCCTGTATCACATCACATCACAGGAAGGAGTAAAAGCCAGGCCTGACAGGTAGAGTTTTTTATTTCCCCCGACGGCACACCTCTTGACCTCCATCTTCTTGCCAATGATTTTTTAAATCCTAAATGATTTGGCAATAATTGCTCCTCTCGGTGTGATTATTGCCCTTCACTGATGGTAAATCTGGAAATTCCCCAGGGGTTTGAGAGTACTTAGGTATGCGGAGCCCACAGGCTGGCCCAGACAGGCTTCACTGCACACCCCATTGGCTGCCCGTGTCTAGCCCCGGCTCCCTGCCACCCTCCTGGGGTTCTGCCCGACGCTGGCATCCTGTCACCATCCCAAACATCCATCCCAAAGATGCTCTTCCAAGGGTGATAGCACTGCCTCAGAAACCATCTCCATGGACCACATCAACAATTGACAACTCAAGAGGGCCCTGAGAAGGCAATTCCCACTGTCTAATTGTGTGTGCACACATACGTAAGAGTTGGTTTTGGGGCTGGAGAGATGGCTCAGAGGTTAAGAGCACTGGTTTGCTCTTCAGAGGACCCGGGTTCAATTCCCAGCACCCATATGGCAGCTTACAACTGTCTGTAACTCTGGTTTCAGGGGATCTGACACCTTCTATACCAATGCAAATAAAATAAAATTAATAAATAGTTTTTTAAAAAAATAAAAGAGTTGGTTTTGAGGCAGTATTTCATGTATCCAGACTGGCCTTGAACTCACTATGTAGCTGAGGATGACCCTGAACTTGCGATCTTTCTGCCTCTATCTCCTAAGTCCTGGGATTACAAGTAGACACCACCACACTTTAGTGTATACAGTGCTGGGGCTCAAACCCACAGCTTTGAGTGTACTAATCAAGAACTCTACTGATGGAGCTACCGCCCTAGCCCATGTGTACACCATTTTACTGTTCCGGAGGCATGGAAGGTGCCAGGCATGACACGCAGTAGTTGGGATTTGTGCTCCATTTCTAGGAAGCCCAGTCACACAAAAGGTCTCAATGCCTCTGGCAGCCGTCAATACCTGAGTTGGAACCCTTGAGTGTTCAAAGGCTGAATCCATAGTTTAGGATGGCTCCTTGAAAGGGGGTTACCTAGCCTAATGTGAAGTGTCGGACCATCTGTGTCTCAGGCCACTTTATGCAAGCTGTTGGGTAGTCCTGAAGGTTTGGAGTCTCGGGTCACTGGACCCTATGCTGTCCAACTACAATGAATAGATGCCACTGGCCGGATCTTCCCAGGTGACTGGATGGTTCTACACTGCTATATGAAAGTTGATAGAAAACAAAACAACCTCCCTGCCCCCTAGAAAAAGGTTCCATGATTTGTCATAGCTAGGCTTTTGCTGCTGGCGCTATTATTTGCTCAGGATTTCTTTAAACTGACTTTTTAAAAAGTGAATTTTAAAAGGAACTTTGGTGCGTTACTACAAGTGGGAACCATAATGTCTTGACTTTCCATAATATTCTAAGAGTAAGCACCATACAATTATCTGGGGACAGAGATAGAAAATTAGTTTCACACACACACACACACACACACACACACACACAATTTCAACTTCAGATTCTGCTTATGAGAGGAAACATGCTGTATTTGCCTTTTTAAGTCTGGCTTGTTTTGCTTAATGTAATGATTTCCAATTGCATCATACTAGAGACCAAACCACCAGCAAACAAGCCTTTGGGGGACACCCTCAAACCATATCCAGATCACAGTGGCTGTCTTTTTGCTATGTCCTCATGTGGCTTTTGCTGTGCTTGTATGGAGACAGCTGTGGGGTCTCTTCCTCCTCCAGAAAGGACCCCAGTCACACTGGGTCAGGGCTCCACCTTTGAACTCATGGACTCTAAATTATCTCTGTAGATGCAATCTCTAAGTACTCACACTGGAGTTCAGCCTTGCTGACTTCAGAGGGTACAACTCAGCCCATGATATGCTCTCCACACATAAACTGTGAGAACACTGTAGGCAGGAGACTTGGCTAGTCACAGAGTCACCTCACCTGTTTCCTGTGCCTCGAAAGACACATCTGTCCTTGTTGATGTCCAGTGCCTTGAGAACTGTTGGTTCTGAGAGCTTGCCTGTGTGGAGGGTTGTTTCCGGTGGGAAGGATAATCCCACAGACTGCTTCTGAAACCCTATCCAATAGGTGTGTGTGTGTGTTTAGATTTTGGTTTTTATACACAGTCACTTGACAATTGACAGTAAAACCTTTTGCAGTGGGAACTACAAAGACCTGTCAGACACTGACTTAGTTTTCACAGTACAGTCACCTGTATTATTCACAGAAGAGCACTTAGCATCAGGTAAAACGCAGACTGCTCTCTGTGGAGGCCGGTGCCCCTCGAGGCGCCAAATCACTTTGACGGCTGCTGATTGATTTCACATTGAATAAATAAATTGGTCATGGCCCAGGGGGGCAGCAGGAGATATATTCAAGGTGGCTTGACTTTAAATCAATACAGTGACAATATTATCTTGTTTAATTTGGATGATGGTGGCTTTAAACATCAAATCAATCAGTTTATTACGTCAAGATAAGAAAAAAGAAGAAAGATACCAAGAACTCAGGAATAAAACTCTCCTGACATAACTTCTGAGCATATTTCACTGCTGACAGGCCATCATGATCGGCGATGACATCGTGGGTGACGTTGGCGGTGCCCAGCAGTGTGGAATGAGAGCCCTGCAGGTGCGGACAGGAAAGTTCAGGTCAGTGCCCACAGCTGCTTCCCCCACCCCCAGCTCCCCAGGAGGACAGCCTTCTAGCCTTGGGGCTTTTCTTAGCAACCAAACTAACAAACAGTATGAGGGCCTTCATGGGTTTGTCTGTAGCTGGCTCCTAAGGACAGTGTGGCTGATCTTTGTAGCAGAAATCACTGTCTCCCATTGGGTGGTGGTGAGGCGGTGTGGCCCTTGGTGCGGATCCTGGACTTCGAGGCAGACATGAGTCTGTGCAGCGAGGATAAAGATGCAAGGCTCTGCCTGTCCTGGTGCTGCACCAGGGAGTCGGGTGGTGGTGTCCGTGCTCCTTTGGGCCGTGTGTTCGGAGCCTTTGCAGCCATTGAGGTTACAACTGCCCTCAGGCTGTCTGGCTGCTTCCTTTCCCCTTTGTTCCACCTTCCCCAACTGGTGAGAGGCACAGAACCTAGAGACCACAAAACAGCTGTCAGGGACACCCTAGTTCTGAAGTTCATGAACAATTACTAGGAATCGGGCAGTTGGATCTGCCCTGTGGTGCCTGGGCTGTGTGTGGCTTGCTTAGCTGTTGAGAGTGTCTTATGCTTTGGCCGTGTCTTGCTTATTTATTTATTGCTTAGTAATCTTTATTATAATTAAAATATAATTATGTAATTTCCCCCTTTCCTCTCTCCAACCCCTATTTTATATTTTGAAACCGACTTGCATGTAGCCCAGACTGGTCTAAAACTTGCTATATGGCCAAAGTTGGTCGGGAACCTCTGAGCTCCCTCCCTATCAGGTGTTGGGATTATAGGAGTTTGCTACCATTTCTAATTTATGTTGTGCTAGGGATTGAACCCAGGACCCTATGCATTCTAAGCGAGCGCTCTACCAACCGAGCCATGCCACCAGCCCTGCTTGTTTTCAGTGGATTCCATTATGGCCAGGCCACTCAGACAAAGCCCTGTTTGGTTGGTGTTAGAGAGACTTGGTGAAAATGTGCTTAGCTGGATGTGGAGGATGGTAGGGCAGTCACACACATCTAAATGATTGTCTTAGGCAGGGCTAGAATCCATCCATGTCCTGACTTTCACTCTGAGATCCAGCCTGGGTGAGCTGAAGCCATCTATGAGCCGAGTCAGGGAGGGAGTCTCAGCACTCCTGGGGTCCAGGGTCAGGAAGCCACTTCTGGACTCTCCCAGAGTGAAGTGTCCATAAATCCCCAGCATACCTGAAATACAGACTTTATTTCCTCCCCAACCTCTCTGAGGAGGGTCTCATGGCTCCATTGGTTATGTCTGGCCTGAGGGACTCCTGCTCAGGAGATAGAAAAGCATTCTTCCCAAGTGGCCAGCCTGCTATTCAAACTACCACAGTGGCCTACTAAGAAATGGTGGTTGCTTTTTACTCTTTGGCTCTTTGACTCTTTACGGGGCCCGCCACTCAGCTCCCAGATAAACCCACATGGAAACATTACTTGTAAATGCCCGGCCTTAGCTTGGCTTGCCTCTTGCCATCTGTTCTTAAATTATCCCACGTACTTTTTGTCTCTGGGCTTTTAGCTTTTTATATTTCTGTATATCTTTTCCTTCCTTCTTATTCCCTGCCTGTCAGTGTGACTGAGTGACTGGCCCCTTCTTTTCTTACAATCTTCTCTTCCCAGATTTCTCCTCCTGCCTGCCAGCCCCTCCTATCTAGCCTTCCTCCTGCCTGGCTATTGACCGTTCAGCTCTTTGTTAGACCACACAGGTTTTAGACAGGCAAAGTAACACAGCTTCACAGAGTTAAACAAATACAACACATCTTTGCATCATTAAACAAATGTTCCACAGTATAAACAAATGAAACACATCTTCAACTAATAGTCTACAACAAGGAAATCTAACTCTAATCCTAACCCTGACTGCTAACCCTATCTCTAACCCTAATATTTTGTATGTTACGCTATCAGTGAACTACCAGCAAATCTTAATCTAACTCTAACCCTAACCCTAAGCTAACTGGAGGTGTGTGTTTGTCCTGCACTGCCCCTTGTCACTGCAGATAACACTTCATTCACAGATGCACTCTCAGGTGACCCAACTGCACACTGGGGGCCAAAGGGGCCCTGTGTTCCTTATCCCTAAGGAATAGTGGTGGCTATTGTGAATAGCCCTGGTGGCTACTGAGAATCCACCAGCGTCTCTGGCATCCTGCACACTGCCTCCTGCAGTGAGTACTCTCAGTGTGTGCCAGTGGGCAGCCTCTGAATTCAGACAGACAGGTTCAGGTGCCTCTCTTTTCCTCATCTTGTCCCCTCCATGCATATCGGGTCCTAGGACCAGCTCTACCAATGAACTAGGTTTACAGTAAGGCCTGGCTTTGGGAACCTCTGATCCAAGGCAGGTCCTAAAGTGGGTCATTTGACCTCATCCCCACACCAGGGAAGTGCCATCATTGCTGTGCCTGTGGTGGTGTGTGCAGGGTCTGGTTGTGCTTTTCCAAGAGGCAAACGGGAACTCTGTGAAGCCTTTAGTTCCCGCTGTGTTCACATGGGGTGCTGGCAGGGCCCTCACAGGATCCTTGAGGAAACTGCACCCAGGAAGGTGTATCAGAGCTATCTCAGAATAGACCCAGCTGCCTGGAGTGGGGTGAGGTCCCTTACCTAGGGTTGACCCCAGAGGCTGGTGCTTGTCTCACAGGAAGGCCAGAGGACTGAATGCCAGAAGCCTGAGCAAAAGGTCCAAGGCATCCTCATTAGGCTGATACTAGTCTGGCCTCTGTATCAGACCCTTTCTCTGTACGCTGGTCTCTAGGATGGCACTGGAGGCTGATCCTATTTCCTGCTGATAAAAGAGGAAGTGGGGCAGAGTCTCAGAGGGATCCCAGAGCCCCTGAGGTCATTGTGTCACCTCCCATTTGCACATGAGAAACTGAGGCCCAAACGGAGCAGGGACATTGGTTGTCATGCCACCCGCTCCACCAGCTCTGTGACCATCCCTTGCCTTTAGATTGCCATTGCCTAAGCAGTGGCTGGTGGCCAGGAAGACAGCATATAGGTGGTGCTGAGTAGAAACGGGAAGGGCTAAGTGTCATAAGTGACTTTGTACCCCAAACCCTTAGGGGTCTCCACCAGAGCTAACACCTGCCAGCCCACGCCCAACCAGGGTAGCCCTTGCCTAAGTGGAAACCACTGGAAATGGGACTCTGCCTGCCCCAACGCAGGCCGGCTGGCCCAGTAAGTAGGCGCAGTGGTAGCCAATCTGTCCCCACACTTTAATGTGTCCTGAGTCCCCCTCCTCACCAAGCAAACACAATCCACACAAGCACTCCATCTCAGCTAGAGTTACTCCAGGAGGCATGAGGTGGTGGCTATGGAATCTGACCCTGTCCTGTGACAGGGAAGAATGAGGAGCTGTCACACAAGCTGTCCTCACAGTATTCCCTCTCTCTGGTGCAGTGTGGAGAGGTGACCTCATTTTATCCAGGTTCCGCATGCCAGATGAAAGGCCCAAGCTCCATGCAGCTAGTTGGCACCCACTTGCCTTGCCTTATCTGACAGGGTACCTCAGGTATTGGGGAGGGTGAAGCTCAGAGAAGATGTGACGGCGCCAGGTGGGGGTGGTCAACATCCAAGATGCATTGGCCTTCTCCAGTTCCACCCCTCCCCCACCCCCACCCCGCCCCTAAGTCCTTTTCTTCCCATCCCTCTTCTCCAGCTCATCTTTCCTGTTCCTCTTTCTTGAGCCGCTTCCTGCTCTGGCCACAAGAGGGCGCTTTGTCACCAGGTTCTGGAAGAGCCAACCCTTCCTTCCTGCAGGACAAGAGCACACAGACCACAGACAGCATCAGGCTCCAGTGCACACTCACAGGCTCTCACAGGCAGCCCCCCCCCCGCACAGTTATTCACATCCATGCCTCTGTTCTCCCAGCTCACTCCCATGCATGCTCACCCTCTTTGCTCCCTGCTGCTCTGGGTCTTTGTCACATTTGGGGTCAGGCTAGCTTGCTAGACTCAGAGCAGGCCGGGCTCTCAAGAACCAAAGCAGGTTCTGTGACCCATGGAGGCTTCTTTTTTGTTCTTCTCCAGCTGGCACCGTCACAGGAGGAAAATCCTTGCAATGGTGCTCTGGTCCTAGGGTCCCTGCCATTGTCAGAGAGGAGAGAGGCCAGGTCTCTGTGTCGGGAGAGTCCTTGCCCACCACGTCCCCTATTGTCCCCTCGTAATTCGTTCCTTGAGCCCTTTGTCCACGCTGTGCCCCTCCTGTCCTGTTCCCATGTGCCCCCACCCACTTCCTAGGCTTGTCTGGGTCCTGCAAGGAGCCTTGCCTGGCTTCCTTATGATGGAATCTCAGTGTCCTTCAACCAGCAGGGGGCTCCACTGGCTCTGATTGCGGACTAGAGGGTAGGGTGACTTTTAACACCATGTGGTAACACAAGCTTCTTTCTATCTATAGATGGCTCAGTGAGTAAAGCATTTGCCTTGCAAACATGAGGACCTGAATTCAGAGCCTCAGAACCCACAGAAGACCAGGCAGTCTCAGTGAGCACCAGTAATCCCAGGACTCCTACAGTGAGATAGGCAGACACAGGAGAATCATGGGAATTTTCGGGGGGGGGGGGGGGGGTAGTAAGCCTGGTGTCTACAGCAGCAAACAGCCAGAGACCCTGTCTTAATCCCTGAGATTGTCCTCTGACTGCCACACAGTGACAGGCACACCCACACTGTCGCAGATGAACATGTGTGAGTGTGCACACGCACACACACACACGCGCGCGCGCGCACACACAAATAACAAAGAATTTCCCCCAACCTTCTTATTTCCACACCATTTTGGAATTTTCCAAATAGCTATCTTTGTATGCTGTTTCACACAGATCCTGTTCAGGTCTTCCTGGTGACTCTCAGAACACTCTGGAAAGAGCTGTGAAGTCCCATGATGGCCTCCAGGTTCCACCCACGTTCCACCCTGACCCAGCCCCAGTTCTGTCAGGAACAGCAGTCTCACGTGCTTTTTCCTCGTGACCACACCTAGTCCACACCGTGGGGCCAGCAGATGAGGGCCAGTGCCCCCAGAGCGCCGTCCTTCCAGTGATGCCCGTTACTGAGGAGGCTGGCATTGATTCCTATCTGATCTATCGGGTTATCTGTTTGCTGCCCAGATGGTCCTCATTGTGTCCCCTCGAGGCCCCTCCAGCTGTCCCCACATCCTTCTGACGCCTCTGCACCATTCTCTGTGCCCTTCCTGGACATGGGGTGCAGAAGCCCCTTCGGTTCATTTTCTGTCTTCGCCACAACCCTGGAACCAGCCATCTCTCCAGGAAGCGCTGATTCTTCCCACCCAAAGTGCCCTGTAGACTCTAAGCCTGTGGCGAGGAGTGCCTCTGGTGCCGCTGTTCTGGGCCCTCTAGTTACCAGAGGAGAAAGATGTGCATGCGTGCCCCAACCCTCAATGTGTACTTACCCGGGTGAGCTTATTTCTGTGACCACTGCATTTGTGGAAAGTGCGAGGTACCTACCAGTGGTCCTGGCTGCGGCCTTCCTTTGTGCTTTTGCCTTCCTCCTCCAACAGAGGGAACTTGACCCCCACTGTCTCCCTCTACCCTCTTAAGTGCTCTCTCTCCACTGGCCTTCTTTGGCCTTGCCTGGGGAGCATGGGCTATGGTCTGAGCAACAGAGACCTCCCAGTTGCCCCATTCATGCTTTTCACGGGGTCTGGGGGTGGACAGAGGTCCACTTTTCCTGGGAGAATGCTGACTTGCCTGGGATTACCCTGCTGGTAAAGGCTTAGCAAGGCTGTGTCAGCATGTGTGTCCTGTGTCTCCAGTGAAGGCTTCAGTGTCCAGAAGGGGCATTTGTGACTGGTGATTGTGTGCTCCTGTGGCAGAGTGTGAGCTCTGAAGATGAGAACCCCGGGTTCACTGCGCACTAGTGATAAAGAGGAAGGTTCCAGTGATGGGGGTCACAGGGGCCAGGGTGGGGCACCTGGGAACTTGGAGCCTGAGGAGCGGTGGGTGGGTAGGTAGGGGAGTCCATGGCCAGGGGTGCCCAGTTTTAGAAGTGATGTGTTGATTTCCTTCAACTCTATACACGGCCGCAGCAGAATGCTGGCTTCTCATTTGATTTTGTTCTTCCGGTTGGGTTTGTTTGTTAGTCTCTTGTGTCTACATTTACAGATAGCTATAGCAGGAAGGGGCAGTGCTCATTCATCAGAAACATCAGGTAGGAGACTGGGAGGCTGGGGTGCCACCAGCCTGCAGGGTGCTGTGGGGCTCCACCAGGTGCCCACCCCCACAGTGTCTGACATTGCTGGAGAGAAAGTGCTTGCTGTAGGCAATGGGGCTTGGACTCTGTGTTCCACTGCACCGCAGCCCAAGGTGTTCACACTGTAGAACCAAGAGGGGCCAATTCAGGGTTTCCAAGGCTGTGGATGCCCAGCTCCAATTCTGCCCTGGTCTCTCAGAACCTGCGGACCATGGTGATACTTAGAAGTCTCTCCCCGTAGTGTACCGTAAGCAGCTCTGTTGACTCTTCCTTACTCATTCACTCCTCTGGACCAGAGCCGAGGTTGGGCACCTCTGACCTGACCTGTTAAAGAGGGAGGCTGAGTTTGGGGAGTCTGTGGATAGCAGGCTGCACTGGCCCTGGCCTTCCTACACCTCTCTGTCAGCTTCTCCACCTCATGGTGGAACAGTCCAATTCTGGAGTTTTCCACCAAGAGTCCCGGCTTCCATGGGTGCAGATGCTCACGGGCAGTAGGATCCCCAGCAGTGTGCGTAAGGCAGTCCTTGATTGCTGTTTTTCTCGGGGGGGGCCGGGGCGTGTTCTGGCAGGCATTAGCCAGCCTGGAGAGGAAGGGGTTAACCTTTTGGGACCCCACCAGTAAAAAGGAAGCTTAGTGTTTCCACATGAAATAGTTTAAAATAAACTTCGAAGCCAACTCAGACAGGGCTGCTGCAACCAGATGGAAGCACACTGAAGTGCCGGGGTGGTTGAGTGTCCCAGCTGGTGTGCCGGTATCTGCCTGACCCAGGAAGACGGACGCACAGACAGACAGACAGACAGACAGACAGACAGACAGACACACACACACACACACACACACACACACACACACACACACACACACACACACCTGTGGGCAGGAGGTGGGCAAGCCAAGGCCTTAGTCTGGCCCCTGGAATGTAGTCCTGGCTCTGCTGGAGACCGCCAGGTGGCCCAGACTCCCTGGCTTCCTAATAAAAACAATAGCCATCTCTTTAAAAGAATGCAAGACTCACAGGGTGCCAGGAGACACTGTGCTGCTTCTTGGAACAACCCTAGAAAGTAAATATAGTAAATTATTGAAACTCCGTTGCCTCTGGGTTTAAATAATTCAAATTCAGGAACAGTTCAACCTGGTAGACCCTGGCGGTGTTTCAGTGACTGCAAAGCCCCCACTTCCTGTGTCTTCCGACCGCCTTCCAGCTGCTGAGCATAGTCCAGGACACATGTGCTATGAGGTACTCCGGGGACATGGTGGATATCACACCACTGCCCGCATGACCAGAAGCAGCTTCTGGGGTGGAGGCTCCAGGGTGTCATGAATCAAGGTCCAGAGAGTGGGTAGCGGCATGCCCAGCCTGCAGCGAGCTGGGCGGTCGGGATGTATAGATAGGTGGTGCGAGGCTGGATGTGTCCTCGGTACCTTCTCTGCCTCGATGCCCAGCTCAGGGTCCGGAGCAGACCCGCACTGCTCCAAAGCTCCCCGGTGCCTGGCTATACCCCTTGCAAGATGCCATCCTTCCCCATCCCTCCGGGTTCGGGTAGCCATAAGTCTTACCAGCTAGGAGAACATTGTGCCTTGGCAGCCAGGGTGCTCGCTGCGGTTGAGCCTCTCATTTCTGCCCCTCCTTCAGATTGCTGCCCCGGTGTTCTGAGGGCAGTTGCTGCAGTGGGCAGCTCTGGAGCAGCTCTTTCCCAGGCACTGTGCACCCCAGCAGCGTGCCCATGCTGGCACTGCGGCCCCGGGCAGCCATGCTTTTCATTTGCCTTGGTGGTTCCTTTGGATTCTTCTGATGATGCCTAGGGCTGTGTGGACTGGCTTGCCATGCTTTAGGAGCTCAGGAAGAGGTTTTCATTTCTTTTGAAACCAGAAGCAAAAAGTATGTGAAGTTATTGCAGCTCAAGAAAATGCCTGCCTAGGCACAAGTCTGGGGCTCACACTGCCCTGCCTGCTCACACTGCCCTGCCTGCTCTGGCCCGAGCCTCTCAAGCCCACACTTTCCCTGCTGATCCCCCTCACCTTCCTTGGGGGTTTTGGAGGACATACCTGCCTGGCCTCACAGCTGCTGTCCACCTGTGTCCTGAACATCTGGATCCCTTCACGCTGATCCTTCTGACCCTTCTATCCTGCAGTTCTTACTGCAGCTAAGATGTAGCTACTCTCTGACCAGTGTCGTGTTGCATGTGTCATAGGAACAGGGTCTACCCAGGCCACCCTCTCTGCCACCCAGTACCCATCTCAGGGTCTAGTGCACACCAGTCCTCTGTCAAGGCCTGTTGGAGGGATAGGTGCACAGACATAAGCCCTTGTCTGAGAGGTGAAAGCAGGGATAATTTCCCCCATTTCAGCCAGTATTCTGCAACCCTGGGGTCAAGGCCATA